ATACCTACTTTGATTGGCAGGTCAAAACTATCATAACGCAAAATCACAGTTTCCGTAAATTAACAGCAATCCTGTTATAATTTTCCGTAAGGAAACATAAAGTTCCTGTCAAAAAAACTGTATGCCCACGCATGCGCGGACTTCGCTTATCTACAGACAAGTTTGGACATACATGATAATAACACAGAATTTACGTAAATTTACTGACAAATAACGTAATTGTTCTTAAATGACATACGACCAAGATTAATTTACGTAAAATAACATATTTCCTTACTGCGGAACTAACATTCTGTTAATGTAAGAACAAAGTCCGTAAATCAACAGAAAAGTATGTATATCAGCAGAAATTTACGTATATCAACAGAAAATAAGAAATATATTTCTGTTAAAAAAAAGTCCGTTTTTTTACAGTGTACCATGTATGACAATAGTTTATAGTGTAAAACGTCTCAGTACACCTTACAATATCATATATATATATATATATTGACACCTTGAATTGGGAATTAACATAAAAACCGAACAGTAAGAACAAGTACGATATGTATATACTTTTGTATGCTCTCTCCTAATATTGACCGGTGATATTCAACTAACTGTGATATTATATTATATAACTGTTACTATCTATTTATTTATTCTGATGTTATTTGGAAATTAAATTTTGACAGACAGAAGGAACATGGAAGATTTTAAACTTCTGATTTACCAGTTAGTTTTTGTTTTTGTGATGAAGATAGCTACTGAGATTGTCACGAATTGAAACTGTTAAATATTCAACAGAGAAAGTTCACTATTCAATAAAGATCGAGTCTACGAGCATATAGTACACGATTTATTCTATATTTAATTGTGTTGTAATATTTTCACGAGTGATTATCCGTGGATACATATCGTAGAACTTTAAACGACTAAAGCAATCCAGAGTTTTTCAAGCAGTAAGGCGTCAGTAAAACCAGCAATTATTATTTAAGAATATCGACTACGAAGACAGTTACAAGTAGAAATACAGAGTTTCTTTTTACCATATTCATCTAGACATTTAAAGATACAGCACCACTTGGAATAAATCAAGAACAATAACCAATAATATAGAGTAAATTATATGTAAGGATCCTATTTTTTCTCTGGAGGTTGACAAGGAAACTGAGCAAAGAACAATTTTAACCAGAGATTAATAAGAAAAATGAGATTTACTGTGGAAAAAATGAAAACAGAGTTTAAATAGAAATTTCAGCCTTAAAACTTAATTGATCAGCAGATTTGTTAGATTTCGGGAATTTAGAAAATACTTAAAAATAAACAAAAATATTATAATGTTTCAAAAAAGCCAAAAACTATTTCGCCGTAGTATTAAAATTATAATTCAAGGAATTATCTTGTTAAATTCTGGTTGATTTTGTAGAAAAAAGAAGAATCAGAAAAGTTTGATATTTTTGATGTTATTTTGATATTTTACAGTATCTATTGGTAAGTACAAGTACATGTTACACCTTTTTCTTCATCATTTTTTTTCTTTCTTCCATGTCTTCGCTAACCCACACTGGAGTAGAAAATTAAGACGTAAAATGTCATTTTGTATCATGTATTTTTTGTCCTAGTGATATCAAAGTCTTAAACAATTATAAAAACATAAACATTTATTTTGATTATTTATCTAATAAAATCAAGGATTCTGAAAGGAGTAATAGAAGGAAAATTTTTGAGATCCCCTGCATTAAAGAAAGAAACACTATTCGCTATGTAGACTAAAACTGAAATTGAGTATATAAAAAGTCAGTCGAGGGATACATTATAAAAAATGTAATCTAAATGTAAAGTGAGTCGAGAGGTTGTTATAAGAATAAAAAGCTATTATTCTTTAGATATTTATCTCGGTATATTAAAAATAATTAACTTCATAAACGTGTGATCGAGAATTTTTTTCCAACACAGAAAATATATAAAACGATGAAGACAACTTTTCGTGATAATATTTCAATGCCCACTTAACTTTAATGACAATAATACAGTTCATAGCGAACTTCTGGACAAATATTACAAATCTGTTTCTTGCATCTTGGCTGATTTGTTTGTTCAGGCATATTATTTTCTGATTGTACCTCATGATATAGACCTATATAGTAGTGGTACTTCTCTTTAAAGAACGTTTTCCATTTTCATCAAAAATCTAGATCAATACATATAACAGATAAATTGGCATTAAAACAGTAAAATGTTAATATTTCTACCATTTTTATATCATATTTGTAATTGTACAGAAAATCAAAATATTTAACATAATATAAATAAAAACACAAGTCGGTGATTTTGGTTTAAAGGAACGTGTTTTCGTACTTGTATAATATATAAATCTTCACAGTTTATTTACTGTATCAATGGCTAAAGATAAATCAGAAATAAATGAATTTCTATTAAAAGTTTTTCATGGGGGTAGCTCATATTTATAAAGATATGTTTTCAACCAAAAAAGAGCATGACAAAGGGGAGTTTTGTATTAAAATAATATTAACCCTAAATCGTTTACAATTCTGGTATTTCTTCAGGGTCAGGTGGGCACTTAATTAAAGATAAAACTGTTATTTTGTCCTGCATGTTTTTATATTATTGACAGTATTTACACGTGTCTATTGTTATCAACATGCTGTGTATCACGGGTAATGTTAAACATCAAATAAAAATCACAATAACAATCGTCCATTATGATCACAAAAATATGAAATCAAATCATAATTATTCAAATTATCACAACAAAACATCTAAACGAAATCATACTATAATAAAAAAAAACATTCAAATTATCACAGGCCTAGGGTGGTTCGTATACCACATCATTTTTTTTTTAATTTTGAATTAAAAAACTGGAATATAATTATAAAACATAATTTTGAATCAAAAACTTGTATTCTACCAGTATTATTATTATTATTATTATTATAATGTTGGTCCATTATATTGACAGAATAATTACCGTAGTTTATTTAGAACATGTTTAATGTTTTAATTCATGATTTAATTTTACTCATTTTTATTTTATTTTTGCTGAATTATCATTTACATGTAATTGTACATATTTAAAAAAAGAAAACAAAAATAGTACACAAAAATGATAATTCAGCGGACAAAAATGAAAAATAAGTAGAATTAACCAAAAATAAAAAATATTATACCAATACTAGAGCAGGTTATTATCCGACTAAGATACGATTGGTCAAACAGGTGGCGAACGTGTCCCTTTAACTGTACATGTATAATTTTGAAATATATCAAAACATTACTGGTGAATACATTTTAATAAAACATACGACACGACAGATATGAATAGCCCGGCCTCGTGCCATCTCGACCCAGGTCACCAACGGAGAGAGAAATCAGACATTAAAAAGTAACATTCTTTTTTGAATTAAAAACTTATATCAGTTAGAAATAATAAAAGATTTTAAAAAATTGTTAAAAAAATGATCTGCTCTAATTGTATATAATATAACGTTTATTATTATTATTTATTAACTGATTTCAACTTGGATAACGAACAATTCACAGCAATGTATCGTAAAACAGCCGGCTTAAGGGTGACATTCATAATATTGTCTCTTTACTACCAAAAAAAAAATACAAAACAAAAAAATCTCAGCCCGATGAGTTAAGTCCCTTTGCACCCATCAAATTTTATAGTATTTTGTCAAATAAAATTTGTCAACTCACGGGTATTGGAATTTCCATTTAAAACTACAAAACGCCGATATAGCGAGATAGTCACTCTTTGCACTAGTTTGTATTTATTGTATTTACTAGTTTGTTTTTATTGTATTCGCTAGTTTGTATTTATTGTATTCACTAGTTTGTATTTATTGTTTTCACTAGTTTGTGTTTATCATTTTCACTAGTTTGTATTTATTGTATTCACTTGTTTGTGTTTATTGTTTTCACTAGTTTGTATTTATTGTTTTCACTAGTTTGTGTTTATTGTTTTCACTAGTTTGTATTTATTGCATTCACTAATATTTATCGGTTGTATTCACTAGTATTTTCATTAGTGTATTGGGCGACTTTCTCGCAATATCCACATTTCGTAGCTTTTAATTGAAATGGAAATACAAGTGGTCCCCAAAATGTAAAATTGTGTGACAAATATACATAACGCGAGGAACAATGTTTGCTGCAAATGCGTTGATCTTTCCAGAATTAATCACTATTAACAACTGGATTGACTGGAATAATGAGGAGTAGACTTATTCAAATAAATCGACATCTAGATGTGCACAATTATATAAAATTCATACTCTACATATTGTGTTAGCTCAGTTGTAAATAGTTTGGAATATTAATCCTGTTTTATATGATATTTTCACAATTTGGTATACTAATCCAATTCATTTGTTACGTGTAAATAATGTAGTAGAGTATTAATGACTTCAGAATCCATTCTTACGTAGTTGCAAATGATCTAGCTCACTGGTTGATAAATTTTTGAAGGCACGAATTGCGCCCCTTATTTAATTATTATTTATTGTTTTTTAAAACGAAAACTAAGAAAACGTGTCCTTGTCGGTTTATAAACCAGACAAAACACTTCGAGATGCGGGATATTAAATATCTATAAACCCTCTCTCGTGTTGTATTCTATGCTGATGTGTTAAAAAGTATGGGAAGAAGTGAGACTTCGTTTGGCAACTCTACATCATCCTGCGAACCCGCATACCTAATATTGTTTATTTTCTATATTTATTTATGTACACATGTACTCTGTTAAGATTATTTCAGAAATTATGAATTGCCATTTCAAAAGATTTCTCTAGAAAGATAGTGATTTTTTCTTTCTCAACTAGACTCAATGGATACCCCTGACTACGTCTTTGGACACCTCAGAGATCACGCTACACTTGGCACAAATTTGGATTTGTCCAGTTAATGTCTTGTAATCTTCTTATTTTGTAAGTAACATACTTTCCACTTTTATTTTTTTTTGTACAAACATTTCAGGTTGTAAAGAAGACATGGCTGGGAAAACTGAATTACTACTGATAATATTAGTAGCTATACTGACATCTCTTATACAGATTAGATCAGGTACTACTTGTTTTATTATTACAGCTTTCGAGTTCAGCTCGAAACTGTATTGTTTTCATTAATCTTTTAGATATTTTGTTTTCGTATTGATTTTTTTTTGTCTACGGCAGGCCGGTTTTCTTGGCAATGGCAACAGTTACGGGAAAACGGACTTCATGGCGTTTTCTAACTCGTGGCTAATCACAGTTTAAATGTAAAACGAAAATTACGCAACGTTGCAACAAACGGAAAATGGACTCTAGAGGGCGTGTTTATTAACCGATTTTGATCGGGTTTTCTGCATCGTATTTCTTGTAACAAAGGACAAATGATAGTAGTTGAAAATTTTCGATTTTCGAAAATTCGTTGCATACTTTTTTGGCGAAATTAATCGAAAAATACTACTTTGGTTGTTATTTGGCGGATTGACTTGAAACTTACGTGGTGTAGACCGCCAGCATAGAGCAATAAAAGTACACATTCAAATTTGTTTTATCACTTCCGGTGGAATTGAGTTATGTCAAAAATAACATACGCATTATATTACCAGCCTTAATACAAACTTATTAAACTAAAATAATTTGCCGTGTATGCAAATTCCTAACCGTTCAGCCGCCACCTTTAAAAAAGCAAAATATCGGAAAAATACTACTCGTCCGTCATTTTTAATCCGATTTTTTTCAAATTTGTTTTAAATTGTACTTAAAATTGTACTCCTCTAGAAGCCCTTTTTTGGAATTTCGACTTTGTCTTTGCACAACCTTTATTCAAAGCTTTTTATGATAGGCCTTGTATATATAGGCCGATAACTTTTGACCTTGACCTTCTGCAACCTTTAACTTTCAGCAGCAATATCTTCTTTGGCTACACTTTCATTTGATACCAACATTTGTAATTTTGGTAAATTACTTTTGATTTTATGGGGTTTTGAAAATGAACAATTTTCTTAAATTTCCTATATTCAGAGGATAAGATCACTAGAACTTGTGCTTTCACAGCAATCGGGATGGTGTCATTGCAATGTGCTCGCCACAAGCTTTTAAATGATATGTTAAAGTAAGTTTTCGGACATTTACTTCTTGAATATTCAGGTCATTTTAATATTCATTAAAACTCTTGTTTGAGTTCTAGCGAACCTAGCGAAATTTTTAAAACAGGAATATAATGTAAAAATTCACAGTTTTAAAACAATACATAAATAATTATTCATAATCAAAATTTATCAAAAAAATCAAAATAAAATCCATTTTAATTAGACAAGATAATTATTTTACAAAGGGTTAAATGGATTATGTAACAGGTCAACAAGTCAATAATTGCAGGTGTTAACTATGGAGCCAAAAACTTAAAACAGTACAACAACAACTGTCCATCAATACATGGTACTAAAATCAGAAAAGGGCTGTCTGTGGGCGTGGTCATTGAAAATCAGTTGTAATTGTTGTCAGAGTACTCAGCAAAAACTGTAATACTTAAAACATTTTTGGCATTGGGTCAGACATTCCAAACCGCGAAATTACCTTTTAAATAATATATCTGTTGGTACGGGAATCTTTCTACTGTCAATAAAGTTGATGGACATCGAATTGTCACGTGCTAAATCTTGCATTAATAAACGCAAAAATATCTACATTAAATCCTTAAATAGAACTTATGTTTTACGCCCAATACATATAAGTAAAACAGCTCGGAAGCTGACAAATCTGTGTCGAACAGGTCTAGTTTGATTTTATAATTTGTATCTGGCATTACAATCTGGCAGTAGAATACAAAACACCAGTCAATTAAAGATGGTTCCCTTATTTTCATTTATGAAAATGAAAATTCTGATACTTATATGAATAGAAAGTAGAGCTATTCTAATGAAAAATACTGTTAAGGGAACTAGCCATGCTTTACTTTACAAGGAAACAGGTTTCATTACACTGCAGGAAAAAAGACGTCGGCATAAGCTGACAATGATGTACCAGATCCTGAACAATCTGACTCCAAATTACCTATCAGATCTTCTCCCCACTAGAAATATCAATTATAATCTTAGAAATATCAACAATTTACCATATATAAACTGCAGAACTAATTTATTTTATGATTCATTTTTGCCGTCAACGATCAGAGAGTGGAACAATCTACCAAATTCTCAAAAACTACACCTTTCTATTTCATCCTTCAAAAAATCTCTTAAATCAAATGACACTTATCCACCTGGTACATATAGCTTTGGCAATCGAAAAAATCAAATTTACCACTGCTGTCTTCGTCTTTCCTGCAGTGACCTCAATGGTCATAAATTTCTTAGACACGTTAGTGATAATCCTGCGTTCTCTTGTGGTCATCAATATGAAGATGCAGAACACTTTCTTTTGCACTGTCCCTTACATTCAGATGCACGAGACAGATCTATAAACATCTTACCAACTGGCCTTAAAAACATAACCAATCAGCTTAATGGTGTACAAAATGATCCTGATCAATCTATACTCATTTTCCAAAAAAAAAAAATTCACGAATTCCTTCTTCTGTCAAAACGTTTTTAAAATTTGAATTATTCCGCTTTATATCTTCGAGTATCTACCATGGATGTAGCGATGTCTGTATATACGTTACTTATTTTAATGATTGTACATATGAACATTTTTCGTTATATAGGCGAAAACCTGTTCCCCAATCCTTTTCATATTTATATGAATAAAATATTGTTTTAAAAAAAAATACCAGTTTGTCTCACATGTCCATAATTGAATTATAATTAGCTCAATACAGCAGAATTCCAATGAGTGGCCGATCAAAAAAGGTCAAAAAGTATTTTTTTGTTTATCCAGACTGTACATTTATTATTGGTTAAAACTCTTATTTATATGCAATAAGGACATAATGATATGATTAAGAATACATGATAATTCATTAGAAACACCAATTATTCAAAAAGTTAGCTTAATTTGACTCTAAAAATTACGGAAACCCATCTTTAACATATCAATGAACAATTAAAATAAAACCCAGATTATTATAATCATTTAACGACATTTAGGGGTAGAGATCACATTAAATAACGGAACACAATTTTATAGTGTTTTATACCATAAAATTGTGTTCCGTTATTTAATCCGATTATTATAGTCACATGGTAAAAGGCTCATTGAAATACGGTCGTATGTATATGGTAGTAAAAATGAAATGAAATGAAATGAATGGAGTTTTACGTCCTACTTTTCTGCACCATGTGGGATAATGAAGACGGGCGACGCCATGCAGGGTGCAATGAGGGACATTTTGCCAGGACAGCGGCATTAGCCTGCTCTTTTTCGATTTCAAACTGTCGAGGGATCTTTAACGTGCACAGCCTGTAGCACACGGGGCCTCGGTTTATTGTCCCATCCGAACGACTAGGCGCTTTTTCCATGTCAGCCCCTCGTACCTGCATCACTAACAGGGGGCAACCGGGTTGAAAAATCCGAAGGTATTATCTCGACCTATGCCGGGATTGAACCCTGGACCTTCAGGTTAGCGAGCAAGCGTCTAACTCACTGAGCCACCGCGGCTCCCATATATATGGTAGTAAGGCGTTAGTATATTACTATACAGTATAGTTCTGGGATCACCTTATGTATCGCGAGATGGGGTATTGTGATAAGAACCCATTAACTTATAGTAATATTTATAGCTGTGATATTTGGTACAGTAGTTGATAGGAGTGGTAAACGACCATTGTATTATAGATAGTTAACAAATGTTTCAGTCAAGTCAGTGAGAACAATTGGTGATTCCATTCGCTGACTTTTCTCACCCTTATAGAATGAGAGTTATCGTAAAGTATCGATACACGCCCTTGTGACACGAAACATGTATCGTGGCATGTATGATATGGCGATACATCGATTTGCCGATATATCGTGCCAGAAATATTTAACAAGCAACTTTTATTCATTTGTTTCGGAAGTTGTTGGTATATTATTATGTAGCTATTAGCTACTTGTACTCTTTTGTTTCAGAAACATGTACTTTCACGAGAACCCCTGATACAAGGGGGCTTATTGATGGAAAGTTTAAAGGAATTATTTCTTTGGATGATTGCGAAAAGGCGTGCCGTGTAGACAGTTCATGTGTAGCGGTTTATAGAAATCCACCTGTATGTTATTTTGCGTTGAATACACAGACAAGTCCAGAATCAAGAACAACACATTCTTTGAAATCTTGCGTTGATGATACAACTCCAGAGGCCACCACTCCAGAACCAACAACACCTAAACCGACAACACCTGAACCGACAACACCCGAACCGACAACACCTGAACCGACAACACCCGAACCGACAACACCTGAACCGACAACACCTGAACCGACAACACCTGATCCAACCGAACCGACAGCAGCAGCATCAAACCAGGGAAGCAGCACAGAAGGTATGATATATATTCACATTCCCAATCACTTTGCTATTGACATTCGACTAAGATTCAATAAGGGATACTTTTGGTTTTGGTGACGGTATAAATTCTCCGACGCTACTCACACACACCTCACACACTACCTATTCTCTACTCACACTACACATAGTCTTCTCATACTCTACTAACACTCTACTCACACTCTACTCACACTACATATAGTCTACTCACATTCTACGCACACTATACATAGTCTACTCACAATCTACGCACACTACTCATACTCTACTCACACTCTACTCACACTCTATTCACACTCTACGCACACTCTATTCACACGCTTCTCACACTCTACTCACACTCTACACATACTCTACTCACATTCTACTCACACTACACATAGTCTACTCATACTCTACTCACACTCTACTCACACTCTACGCACACTACTCATACTCTACTCACACTCTACCCACACTACACATAGTCTTCTCATACTCTACTAACACTCTACTCACACTACACATAGTCTACTCACACTACACATAGTCTACTCACACTACATATAGTCTACTCACATTCTACGCACACTACACATAGTCTACTCACAATCTACGCACACTACTCATACTCTACTCACACTCTATCCACACTACACATAGTCTACTCACACTCTACTCACACTCTACCCACACTACACATAGTCTACTCACACTCTACTCACACTACACACAGTCTTCTCATACTCTACTAACACTCTACTCACACTCTACGCACACTACTCATACTCTACTCACACTCTACCCACACTACACATAGTCTACTCATACTCTACTAACACTCTACTCACACTACACATGTTCTACTCACACTACACATAGTCTACTCACACTACATATAGTCTACTCACATTCTACGCACACTACACATAGTCTACTCACAATCTACGCACACTACTCATACTCTACTCACACTCTACCCACACTACACATAGTCTACTCACACTCTACTCACACTTTACCCACACTACACATAGTCTACTCACACTCTACTCACACTACACATAGTCTTCTCATACTCTACTAACACTCTACTCACACTCTACGCACACTACTCATACTCTACTCACACTCTACCCACACTACACATAGTCTACTCATACTCTACTAACACTCTACTCACACTACACATGTTCTACTCACACTACACATAGTCTACTCACACTACATATAGTCTACTCACATTCTACGCACACTACACATAGTCTACTCACAATCTACGCACACTACTCATACTCTACTCACACTCTACCCACACTACACATAGTCTACTCACACTCTACTCACACTTTACCCACACTACACATAGTCTACTCACACTCTACTCACACTACACATAA